CGATGGGCTGCATGGCGCACTTGATAGCATAGTACGCTGGCTTAGGTACCTTGTAGTAGTCCACCACAGCCCATGACATCGTCGGCCAACAGTCGTTCAGCTGCCACACCAACGCACCACCACATTTGCGATCACCGGCTAACCCCCATTGGCGGCGCCAGGACTTGTAAGCCCAGGACATCGCATCTGCTTGCATGACCTGGGTTAGATGCGTATAACCTTTCAGCAGGTACTGCACCCGGAAGTTCTCAGACACGTAGCTGATGAGACGTCGCTCATGGCCGATGGCTTTGTTGCGGAAGTCCATGGCCATTGAGCCAGGGTGGAGGTCGTGCTGATCGTTGATGCACATCTCAAGAGTGGAAACATGGGGATATGCTTCCATGCCAAACTCGGATACGAAGCGGCCACCCATATCTGGCAGTCGTTGGTAAGGCTCCATGATACCGTGCCACATGTTCCACTGGTGGACATCGCCAATTGTAGGATCCACTCCTAGGACCGTCGACTTGCCATCACCAAAAGGCGAGCTGGGATGGTAGGGTATGTTTGGACATTCTTCTGCAAGTACCTTTGGCAGAAGATGCTCGTAGATGTAGCGGGCTGGGAAGTCGATCTTGAGCCAGGATTCCGGATCCTTGTCGTCAGGGTTGTACTGTAGTTTGTATCGTTCGACGATCTGGTAGTCCTCGTTGTTCCCCGCCCACACTACTAGGCTAGGGTGGTTTCTCAGCCGTCTAACATTTTGCCTTGCTTCGATCTCCACACTTTGCAAGTACTCGGGGTAGGTTGGGTAGTTGGCACATGCGAACATGAAGTCTTGCCATATCAACACGCCAAATTCATCCGCGGCATCGTATAGCGCATCCGCTTCGTACATACCGCCTCCCCAGATCCTCAGCATGGTTTGATTGCCGTCGGCTGCGAGTTTCACCCACTCGCGGTAGTCCTTGGGTTTGAGCCGTGTGAGAAACGAGTTAGCGGGTATCCAACACGAGCCTCCGCAAAAGATGTCGACATCGTTGATGCGGAAGTAGAAAGAAGTGCCGTGTGAGTCTGGCTCTTTGATAAGCTCAGTGCGGCGGAAGCCAAACTGCTGAGATATGAGGTGGATGGGATTCGGGACACCCTGCACAATGGCTTCTGCTCTAATGGTGTAAAGACTTTGTTGTCCATAGCGTCGCGGCCACCAGAGGTCGATATCATCCATGGTTATAGTACTCTCCAGGGGACTCTTGCGTACACCGATGGTGGTGCGTATACCGTCAATGTCTTCTCCGTCCTTTGAGACCATGAACAATATACCCGTGGTATTGCCCTCCCATTCGACACTCATCTTCAACTTCGCAGATTTGAGGTCCTGTGACAGTTCATACTGCACATTCAGGGCTGATAGGCGGCATTCCCACGTCTCAATCGATACTGGCTTCCAAGGTCCACATGTCATGAGGATAGGACCCCAATCCCAGCCCCAATGGTACTGCGCTTTTCGAACAGGCCCTCGCGAGATCTCTGTTTGGTGTACGATAAAGCGATGTTCTGGATGCTGTTCCACCAATTCGAGACCCTTCGTGCGCGCTGACTCGAACACGATTTCCAGCACGTTTTCCTCAGCCTGAAGCTTGCCCGATACGTCGATCTGATGCTCGATGAACATGTTGTCAGACTCTAAAATCATCTCGTCATTCAAAAAGACGGAAGCAAAGGTGTCGAGACCTTCGAATCGAAGGGTGGTCGCCGCGTTCGCCTTCCCATAATCGGAAGGCGCAGCAAAGGTCGTGCGATATGTCCATGTCTCATCGCCAACCCAACGCACTGCTAGCTCATTGAGGTCATGAAAGGGGTCTGGGATCTTGTCGTGTTTGAGTAAGTCGCGATAGACTTCAGTTGGTGCATCGCAGGCCGGTAGGTATTCGTTAGTCGAGGAACGGTCGCCCTGCTTGAACATCCAACCCGTGGTTAGCGGCGATGAGGTGTATGGAACAGGCGTCATGTCGTCCGTTAGTTGTAGACTAACGATGAGCCTGACCGATGTGACAGCTAAATGATGGACGTTCGGTGGTTGTTCACCCGCGGGTAAACACATGCGGGGTACCTGCCCCTCAAGATGCTTGGGTGGAACGCTGATCAACAACTACGGAGCTTCCTTCGTTCAACACAAGCGTAGGCACGGCCATACTTACGGATGTACATCAGAGGCCGATGTATCCGGCCGCGACGATGCGCCTGCGTCACATTTTCTCGCATCCACCTCTTCCGCAAACTCGCAGCGTTAGGTGGAAAGTACAGAGTTGGGTAAAAAGTACGAAGTTAGGTTTAAAGTACAGGGTTGGGTAAAAACAACAGAGATAGGTAAGAAGTAAAGGGTTGGGTAAAAACGACAGAGTTGGGTAAGAACTACAGAGTTGGGTAAAAACGTCAGACTTGGGTAAAAACTACAGAGCTGGGTAAAAAGTGTAGTTAATCTATAGGTAAAAAGCACACTTTATACCTAGGAAGAGAGCATAGTATATACCTAAGTAAAAAGCACACCTAAATAGTTTATACCTAGGTAAAACGCGCAGTTTTTAGTTAAGTAGAAAGCATAGTTTATACCTAAGCAGAAAGCATAGCTTGTACCTAAGTACGAAGCATAGTTTATACCTAAGTAAAAAGCATGTAGTTTATACCTAAGTACAAAGCATAGTTTATACCTAAGTAAAAAGCATGTAATTTATACCTAAGTACAAAGCATATTTTATACCTAAGTAGATGTTATAGTTTATACCTAAGTAAAAAGCCTGTAGATTATACCTAGGTAAAAATCGTATAGATTGTACCAAAGCAAAAGGTATTTACCCAAGCGGAAACTCTAAGCGCTGTTCAGAATCTCAAAGCCTACAAGATCCGGCCCAAAACTATCTCCGTACCCTCGGAACTCTATCATGTTCTCTGTACCTTCCACAAAGCCGTCAAGTTCGATCTGAAGTCGGAGACTCTCCTCCCAATCGCCACCAGAGAGAGGGAAGGCCCATCGCTTCGCCTCAGCACCATTGACTGCGATGGTCATGTTACGTGTGTTGTCGCCCCATTCCCACGCAGTGGTGAATGCATAGTGGTAGTTGATGAAGTCGATACCCATGAGCTTCTTGCCAGTGGACTGAGAGCTGACGTTGGCAAACATGACGCTGCTGGCGCGGCCGATGTACTCAATCTTCGAGCCAGTGGGAAGGCATGCGCCGGACGCGCAGGAGAAGTTGTGTGCTGGTCCGGAAAGCGACGCATTAGCAACGGAATGGTACGAGCCGGAGGTGAGAGGGGCGGCTGCGACGATGTTGGATAGAACCCATAGTCGCAGCTCATGTCCGGCCAAGTCAGCCGTCTGGACACCAGAAAGGGTACCAAGATCCTTCGCAGCCCAGACATCGCGCACATCAGCCGAAGCTATGCCCAGTGTTGCCAAATCAAAGTCCACGGCTTGGGAGTCGTTCTTCCAATTCGCGACTCCGAACACCTGCATAGATCCCGAGAGTTTTCCCATCCAGATATCCCACTCGTTCTCAGTATCGCGACGGACCAACATGGCTTGCTGAGCAAGTGGGTCTTGATTGATGGCAATGACTTCCTTGTTCGAGAGGATGTCTAACGAGCTCTGACTAATACGTTCGGGATCGAGGGCGGCGCCGATAATGAGAGGGGACTTGTTGATAGCCCACATGCCAAAGTGGAAGCGCTCTTCCTCTTCAGAAAGGGCATTCAGGCCCACGCTAGACTTGTCAGTTGACGACTCCAGATACAGCTCATTCTACTTACGTCAGCATGTCCATGTCTGCAAATGCACCAGCAGTGGTATGCCTGAAGTATGGGACGACCTGATTGGTGATCCGCCAGATGCTGCGCCAGCCATTGTAGATGTCGTTGCTGATTCGCCAGGTGTTGCCAACCTCAGCAGCCCAGTCACCGACGTCAGTGCCAATTCCCCACTGGCAGACGTAGTAGTGTATGTCGCGGTCTACCGCGTCTAGTTCGGCCGCCATGTGTTGGAAACGTGCTGGCGATTGAGCTTCTGCGGAGCTGGAGTCGACCATCGTTGTGTTGGAAGTAGAGTAGCAGTTGTCGTATCTGCGTATCATTAGCAAGGGCGAAAGCGTATCGAGGAGGCTTGTGATCATACTTAAGGCTATCTCCTCCCCACTGAGCGAAACTCTCAGCATCTAGTTGTTCGTACCCCAGACTCGCAGGCAGAGATTCGGATCCACACTGTAGGTACCCAGCGCCAGAATAAAGACCAAAGTCCAGACCCAGGTCATGAAGATAATCTCCAAGCGCCTTGCCACCAGATGGGAACAGGGTCTCGTTCCATTGAAGTCTCCCCTCTTCGTCTCGATCATGGGCGTTCCAGCCGCAGTCGACTGTAACGAAATTGTAGCCAGCGTTGCTAAGACCAAGGTCGATGAGGCCGTGGGCGCTCTCGTGAATCTTCTCCTCAGAAGGCAAGCAGTTCCAGGTGTTGTACGAATTCCATCCCATAGGAGGTGTGGGTGATCTGACTGTTTTGGCTGCTGCTTGTAGGGCAAGGCATGCCGAGAGCAAGATTGTGGTAGCCATTGCGATGCGAGCTTGATGGTGAGAACTGTCAGTCTGCGCACTCGTTTTCAATCGCCCATCACGAGCTCATAATATCCGGTGGTCGCTGTGCTGCATACTGGATGACCTCACAGCAGGCAGCGTTTCCTGGCTACGGGGGCGGGCGACGGAGGAATTGGTCGCGATGCATCATGTTGCACGTCTTGGCCTGCACCGTTTGACATAGCGCACCAGCTCAAGGGAGTGATCGACAGCTGTACGAGATGCGCGTACAGGGATAGTGTGTTTGTATTCTGGGGTTGGGGTGAGGAGAAGGTGGAGGTTTGCCGGCGGACGCGTGACGAGCGATGGCCGCGAGCCGGAAGGCGCCAGTCGGAAGCCTTACCCCGCCAGACTTCGCGCGACCAGCCTCGCCCAAGCACTAGCTCGGCGTCATGTCCGGAGAGATTACTGCCTCACCCCCAACGCGACTCGGCGATGCGGAACTGGGTAAAGATGCTGAAGAGTCCAGGTGCGACGACGCGCCTGCACCAAGCCCGCTCGAATACACATCCTTCACGCAGTCGCAGCGGCGGCGACTACGGCCGGTTCTTGGGTTGGCAGCTATCACGTCACCCTTGACCGCGACCATCTACTTCCCACTTCTTCCTCTGCTGCGCACACAGTTCAGTACCACAGCGCAGGCTATCAATCTCACAATAACCCTCTACATCATCTTCCAAGCCATTTCACCCGTCATATTCGGACCACTGTCTGATGTTCATGGCCGGCGACCCTACTTCCTGGCCACTCTGGCCCTGTACGTCATCGGCAACTTGGGACTAGCTCTCAACAAGCGCAACTATACAGTCCTCTTAGTTCTGCGTGCGATACAGAGTCTCGGGGCCAGTGCAGCGTACGCCATTAGTTTCGGTGTCGTTGCAGACGTCTGCGTGCCTAGCGAACGAGGACAGATGCTAGGCCCAATCAGCATGGCCATGAATCTGGGCACTTGTGTAGGTCCAGTCGTAGGAGGCGTCGTGGCACACACAAGTGGAAACATCAATTGGGTATTCTGGGCCCTGTTCATTGTCGGCGGAGTCTTGCTCGTCGGCGTGGGCGCGCTCCTCCCCGAGACAGCTCGCAACATGGTCGGCAATTGCAGTGACAAGTCTGGATACAAGTGGTGGCAATACAGCTGGGTAGGCCTTTTACGAGGACGGATCAAGGTAAAAGCAGCAAAGAGACTGAATGAAGGAGGTTTGACTCCAGTGTCTCCAGCGGCAGCTCCATGCCAGACGACTAAGCGGAAGTACGGACTGTCTAACTTGCTCGCCTGCTTTCGCATCATCTTCTATAGGGACACGTTCCTCACCTTATGGGTTCACGGATCGTTCTACACAGTGGGCTACTGCTTCGTTGCAGCGGGTCCAGACATCTACAAAGATATATACCTTTGGAATGAGCTTTACATTGGCTTATCGTACCTTCCACGTGGCATTGGCACCATTGCCGGGGCCTACTTTACCGGAAAGATGATGGACTACAACTACTGTGCCGTTGCTCGCAGCATCGACTGGACCATCGACAAGGTATCTGGTGATGACCTCCTGAAGTTTCCAATCGAGCGTGCAAGGACAAGATACAGCTACGCCATGCTAATGATATCGACAGCGACCATGATCGGCTATGGATGGACTGTCCAATATCACGCTCACCCGGCTATACCATTGATCCTACAGTTCTTGCAAGGTTTCTGGGGTTGCTACGGCTACACGACGTTCAGCACCTTGCTAGTGGATTCTTTCCCTCAAAGTCCAAGCACCGCCGCAGCTGCTACGAGCATCACACGCTGCGCCATGGCCGCGACAGGAGTTGCGGTCTTAGAACCATTGCGGAACGCAGCTGGTAGAGGATGGTACTTTACGGCTCTAGGCCTGTGGAGTGGCATACTGTCGGCCTGGTGCGTCGCCCTGCTACAATGGAAGGGCATGTATTGGAGACAAATACGGAACAGTCGCGTAAATCAGAAGTGATCACTGGTCTCTGGATCGATTGCAACCATGGAGACCAAGGCTGAAACTGAAGCATCACTGATAAGCTTCCAAATGATTTTGTATGAGAGAAGATCATAATACAATGTCTATATGCTAGCATCCAAAGCACTTACCCCAAGCGGTTCGCCCTACACAGTATGATCCCGCTCAGATGACAGCAAAGCCATCTCAGCCTTATGTAGTGTCGAAGGTCTCTCCCCTTCTGGAAAAGGCGCATATCTGTCGATGAGAAAGAGCATATCGTTGTAGGCGCTTTTAGTGTGTTAGCTATGCCTTGTCACTTCCTGCTCGACTCACACTTGGCGAATTGCTTTACCCTGGGCAACGTGGTTGACCGAGTAGATGACATTCCAGTAGATACTGTAGAGACGATTCCGATCGTTCCACTCCTCTTTCGGCTCGCTAGGCTCTTGGTACCTCAAATAGGTTTTCAAGTATACCTTGTTGCTGATCTTGTTGTAGTAAGGTCTCCAATCCGCCACTTCGAGCTCACTATGGGCGTAGAACGCAGCAGAGTCGAAAAGAAGGACATCACTGCCATCAATGGCTGTACCGATGTTGCCTTCCCACAGATCACCGTGGATTAGGCTTGGCTTGATATTACGACCTTCCGTTGTTAGGGCTCCAAGCAGTCTCGGAATCACAAAGTGAATAAGCCGCTTCTCGGCCTTCTCGAGCTCATCCTAAGCTCCGTTCAACTCGAAGTCGACATCGATGACATGTTGCAAGAGTTTGGTGAAGAATACTGTCTAGTTCTTCTCCTATGCTACCTACTGCGTCGCGCGACCCTGGCATGTCGTTACATAGAATCTGTATTGACTAGTAGGTAAAGTGCTTTCGCGATGAAGACGGGCCAGCTTCTTACACAGCTAATTGGGATTAGGCATTTTGTCGCTTATGTTAATGTATTGTAAAAGGAAGAAGTATACTTCTAGTTTCTTATCTTGGTATTGTCCCTACGAGTGCGGCTTAGGCACGAGATACGGCGCCTACTTGTACAGCTTAGACATCGCGTTAAATTCGCCTTTTATCAAGGTATAACCATGAGCCTCTGCGGCCGACTTGAGAAAGTAGCGTTTATTGGTACCGTCGGGCAATAGGAGTTGTAGCCGCGCGGTGATAGTCCAGGATGATACACTAAAGCGGTGCGCAGAGATGACCTTTGTACCCTTTGGAAACTTGAGAAGAACGTTGTTGTCGACTTTGAAGTCTCCTTCGTAGTCTAGAGTGTCCACGAGAGGCTTGTTAATGGGCACTTGAAGTGGTGTGGGTGTCTGCATCATGGTTTGGTATTGCGAAGCCCCTGAGACGTCGATTTTGGATCGCGATATTAGAAAGGTGTTTGAGAGGACGGTATTACAACATCAGCGAGACCTTGCATAGTTCTGCGTCACGAAAGCTACGCCACCAAATTATGTGACTGCATGCACTCAAGAGGCACATACCGCACGCGCCGTTTGCTAAGCATGAGCGGCGCAGTAGACGACCAGTGCCGTCCCAGTCGCAGTTTCTGCCTCAGTACAATCGTTTTGATCTAAGTAAAAACTACTTCTTACCTAGGTATTAACTCTTCTACCTTAGTAAAAACTCTTTTCTTTAGGTATAAACTCTTATTCTTAGGCATAAACCTTTCTGCTTAGATAATAACGTTTTTACCTAAGAAAATACTATAACGTTAGTGTGTATACTACTTAGAGAAAAACCTTTATACCTAAGTATAAACTCTTACACTTTTTACTTAGGTAAAAAGTACTTTGTGCTTAGGTAAAAAGTACTTTGTGCCTAGTAAACAACTCTATACTTATTACCCAGGGAATAACTTAAGCCTAAGGCAACGTCTTCTCCGGCTACGCACTTACTGCATGAACGCAATCGGGGACAGATCTTAAGCACAGGATCTTCGATCGCTGTGAATCAGAATCAGAAACATCACAGACAGAAGAAAGCGGCAATACGGAGGGCTGCAAAGTGTTTGGTATTCATCTGACGCAATAGCGGTATCAGTCTGATCATCTACGAAGATGCTGGCGGCTGAGGCCACTTATCCAGTACGGTCTCTTCACCCGTTATCGTGAGCTTCAGCTCCGCCTGCGTAGGCTCGTCAAGAAGCAGCGTGTACTCTCCCGGATACACGACCGTGTTGCCCATTTGGTCGACCCGCGCAAGCGTTCCAAGCGTGAGAGAAAGTGATGCCATCTTCGTCTGGCTACCAGCAATGTCCCTTAATCGCGCGTATGAGACGAGTGTCTTGAGCGGGTATGGCTTTGGTCCAGCCTCGCCCTTGATGAAAGCTAGAGCGACGAAATCGGAAGTCACATTACCCTTGTTCGTCACACCAATCTCCACTGGCGCAACGTCGCACAGATCAGGATACATCTGCGAACAATCGCTCATGATATCTTGGATGTCGTAGGTGAGTCCTTCGCTGCTGCTGAAGTTCGTAGCGAAGGTGGTGTAGTGCAAGCCAAAGCCGAAAGGCTGTACCGACTGGTTGTACCAGCGATAGGTGCGACCTGGACTAACGGCACCGGGGCGCAGATTCATGTTCAGCATCGAGAGGTTGGTATAGCTTGCGGGGTATTGCGTGATTGGTAGACGACCAGCAACTGCATGCGCGCCAGTGATGACATCCATGACGGCCAATCCACCATCTTGACCAGGCCAGTTAGCCCAGATGACGGAGTTGACGCCTTCCATCGACAGTAGGGGAGAGTTGTCGACCATGTCGCCTAATACAACAACCACAAGCGGCTTCCCAAGCTTAGCAAGCTTGGTGATGAGTTCGACTTGCGCGCTAGGCCAGCTGATGTCGGTACGGTCGAAACCTTCTGCCGCTGCTGAAGTGTCTAGACCACCAAAGTAGATGATGTAGTCAGATCCTTCTGCCGCATTGAGCGCGTTCGTTGTCCAGTTATCGCGGGCACTGGAGTTCTGCAAAACAGGGCCAGTGGCAATGGACATGTTCAATCCGAGCTGTTCACCGGCCCACACGGGAGTGCGCAGGTAGGGAGCAGGGCCGCTGTAGATACCGGACAACTTCGACGAGTCGTTGGCCCAGAACCCGATCATAGCGACATTGGATCCATTGGAGAGAGCTAGAGGGAGCGTGTGGTCATTCTTCAGCATGACGAGACCCTCTGATGCGACCTGGAGAGAAAGCTGCTGTGCTTCCGGCGTGTTCACATCATCGATACCTAGGTCTGCGTACACGGCTCCAGCACCGTCAAAGTAGCCAGCACGAACGAGGCCCTCGTACTGTCGCGTGAGCGCCCTGTCGATAACGGTGACGTTCAAAAGTCCTTGACTCCAAGCTCCAGGGATATCGGAAGACCCTTCGTACTCGCAGCTGTTGTCCATGCCGGCGATGAAGGCGACTGCTGTACCTTCGGCGAGTGTATCCGTGTAGTTGTGGTTCTCGGAAATATCAGCAACGGCCTCGCAGTCACTAGTGATGTAGTTGTTGCTTTCTGTCCAGTTCCAGTGGTCGCGCAAGATGGTTTGTAGAACGTACGTATCGGCGCATGTAGGGACCCCGTTGACAGCGTTGTACGAGCACATGAACGAGCCGACTTTGGAGTCTCGCGCGCATTGCTGGAAAGGCGGCATGTAGTACTCCGCAAGATCCTGCATTGTGATTTTGGCGTCAAAGTTGTGGCGATCGACGCCGCCCCAAGCCTCCATGTCGTAGCCAACGTAGTGCTTGCATGTCGCGATGATCTTCCTCTGAGCTTGATCGCCCTCTAGTCCAGCGAGCAGACTCTTTGTGTAGCCCTTGATGCGCAGAATGTCTTCGCCTGGCGTCTCCGAGCCCCGACCCCAGCGAGGATCGCGGAATGGGTTGATGTCGGGAGTCCAGTAATCCACAGGGGCCACACCCCCGTTGCCAAAGGCACGCGCCTCATTCCCGATGATGTTGGCGATCTTGAAGATGAGATCGTCGTCAAAAGCAGCTGACATGAGCAATGGCATGGGGAAAGAGGTGGCGTTCGTGAATGGTTCGGTGAAGTTGATTCCCGGGGCTCCTGCTACACCGTGCAATGCCTCACCCCACCAGTTGTAGGCAGGAAGGCCCAGTCGCGCTACACCCCTCGATTTACTGCAAGAGTCAGTTGACTGGAATGAGAAAATTGCGATGGATGCCTACCTCATCAAGTTGTCGAGCTTCTCTTCGTTTTCCATAGCCGCAACGAGGGCCATTGCCCGTTCCGTGGGCGCGGCATTGACATCGCAGATCTTGTTGTCTTTCAATGGACCATTGACACAATCAGGACCGATCGCGTAGGTGGTCGATAACAAAGTGGCGCCAAGAAGGAGAAGAGATGAGGCGGAATGCATCATGACTAAACGGGTGCGATGTGTACACTACCGCTACTAGACTGCCCTTACCTGTCACGTAGAGGCAGCCGACTCTTTATGACTTCCACGACTCATGTCATCCCAAGACCACCATGCAGCCAAGGATGCGAATTGATCCGGACAGGAACTCAAAGACGCGCTATTCTACTCTCCCGTGAAGCCATAGTGAGGGTTGACCGTGCTACCCCGCGTGCCCGCGTACACGAGCCCCGGATCTGCATGATGCTGTCTCTCGATCGACCCGCGATAATAAACGACATTCAGCCACCGGGCTCAACGGAACATAAGGCACATGTCACATCACATCACTTCGCATGGGTTTGCAGCAGCGGTAGTACCTCGGTAAAGTTTAAGCGACTGGTCATTTCGCGGTACGTAAAAAAACGCGACGCGTCCACGGGTAGCTAGCTAGCAGAGTGGCTCCTTCCCGCGTCCCATACAGAACGGCTGTAAGTCATTTAGCCATTGCTTTAACTAGCTTGGCTGTTCTTGGACTTGT